TATCTTAAAGATAACTACAGATGGGCGTGTAACTTAAAGATAGTTACCAGAAATACAAAAATATCTCTTCCACTCTGCATTCCTTTTTGAAAAGCGTCAGAATGTGATTGCAGATCCAAGATCCGACAGCCGAGAGCTTACCCTGACCCACAAACCAATAAATTCCAGCTCAAATATCTCAAGAATGCGCAGTCGAAAAGATACAAAAAAAAAAAATAAAATCAAAAAAAAAGAAAAAGGAAGGGAACAAGCGAATGAATTATGCGCTGTGGTAAACATTTTGACAGCGCACGCAGCACACAGCCGAGATACTTTGCAAAAGATACACAGCAGAGACCGAGCACCGAACACCGATCACTGAGCACAGATACAGATACAACTCAAGTGGCATCCCAGAAATTCCGATAAACACAGCCAAAGTCCACATATGGCTCTGGTCTGCGCTCCCGTTCTGGCTGCCTTATCACTTCATTAGGCCATAAATTCGACAACAAAACGAAATTCCACAGTTGAACGAACCGCAGCACCTACGAGATACACAGTTACCGCTTCAGATACATTCCACTGCTCGGCTCGGTTCGGCTCTTCATGTTAATTATGCCCCCCTGCAGTCCGTTGCATCGCATCCAAAAGATACAAAAAAAAAAAACGAGCCAGCAACGTGCGCCATAAGCTTAATCATCATCATCGCTCCGCCCCCCCCGCAGAGATTCAGTCTCTGGATCTGCATCTCTCTGGCTTTGGGGCAGACTCTTAAGAATATGTGGCATTCGGAAAGTGCTACTGGAAAGTCCATTCGTGTAGCCAACAAAGGAGGCAGAGATCTTGTGGAATTTCAGGGCCTTGCTTTGGTCATCGGCTCGGCTCGTCTCTCGGAACAGCTGATTACAGGGAATGTCATTGTCCAGAGGGCCTGATTAGGGCAATTAATGGCCAGCGATTAAGTCCCCTCTTAGAAGAGATTAGAATCTTGAAGATCTTGAAACATATGCTTAACGCATGGATAGGGCATGGTTTGAGATCCTTTTCCTCAAGTACAGTTGGTGAAGTAACTATCAGATACTTTTCTTCAGCTACTACTTTGTTTAAAAAATGTATCTCACAGGCATTTATCTTGAGTCTGCACATTCCAGGGCTTGTATTTTGATTTCGTTTCGTTTCATTTGGACTTGCTTGGAGGAAAATTGCTACCTTTGCACAGATTCGACTGCATATACAGATACAGATACACACACACATGGCCAGCACACATCACGATCGAGCCAGCTCAGCATATGGCATGCAGACGAGTGCAGAAACAAAATTAGCGAATAAAAATAAGCAAAGTGCCTGGGGATCGCGCGTGCAGGCAGCTTGAAATCCAAATCCAAATCTGATTCGGAATCGGAATCCCAATTTCCAGAGGCCCACAGCCATGGCCATCGCTGGTAATAACCAGACCAGAGAGCCCTCCAGTCCCGAGTCTCAAGTCTCGAGTCTCGAACCTAAAACCCAAACTCTAAACTCGCCAACTTAATTTTCTGCTCACGTCTGCAGTTTTCTGCAAAAGTGAAAAATTGTTCAGCTCCGCGAATGACAGCTGAATTATTATAAATCGATATGCTGGCCGGGCTGGCAACTTGGAGGAGAATCTAAAAAATGGGAGACACACACACCATCTTGCCTCTGGCTGGTTATGCAACTATGGGCCTCTCCTAGGCAGGAAAAAGAACCCTTGCCACAGCCCCCTCGACTGCCCTGCTTCCCTCTTAATTAGCACTTGTTGAAAAGGAAATCATTATGCTTGATAAAAATCACAAGTGTTGATTGCTGAAGAACGTCGCCGCTGACATGCAACAAGTGCGAGACAGGAAAGCTGGTGTCGTTGCCTGGAAGTGGTGCTAGTGGTGGTGGTTGCAGCAGCAGCAGCTTTTTAGATGGCAGTTGGTTGCAACTTGCTTGCCAGCTATGGTGGAAAAACAGACGCTAAAATGGGCAAAACATGCGGTGCGAGTTGCGACGAGAGTTCGCTTATGTATCTGTCAGATACATTATGTACTTGTGTGCCTATCTTTGTCGCTGCCGTTGTTGCCACAGCTTGCAAGTGCAAGAAAGAAAATATTTTTAACGCTTTGGGCTGCGAACTACAAACTAGAAAATGTTGCTGCTGCTTGTGGCACAGCCGCGCGCTGCATTCATGCGCGTAATCAAATTGTAATCACGGCTTCGACTTTGTGGCAGGGCAGGGAGCAGCAACAACACCAACTGCAACTGCAACAGAGGCAGCAACAATTTTTGTACCCTCCTTGCCCCGTTGATGCTGTTGTTAAGTGGAAATACTTGTTGCACAAATGCAATGCATGCTGCTCCTGCTGCTGCTGTGTATCTGCATCTGTTGCTCATGTACAGTGAGTGTTGACTAAAAGATACTATTTGATATTAATTATAAATTAAATAAGAGGGAGATCTATAAGATACTTTATGACTAGCAGCAAACTATCTACTAGATATTTTTCAAATAAAAAACCTTTAGTTTTCCAAGGCAACTGCCACTGTAGTTGCTGCAACAAACGGCAATTGCATCTGCATTCTTTCCACTTTTCTTGCTGCCGCTGCCGCTGCCACTACCGCTGTTGTGGCTGCATTGCCTTGTGCAATTTATTAAATGAAAAATGCCGTTTTGCAGCTTTCCAAGTTGCTATACATGTACAGGCCAGAGCCATAGCCATAGCCAGAGCCAGAGCCAGTGCCAGTGCCAGTGCCAGTGCATACCCATATGCCTGCATGTTTCTAGATACATACATACATGCTACATGCTGGCTGGCTGGCATCTTTCGCTTCAAAAAGCCAAATTGAATTTTATGCAAATTTTGTAGCTCGTTTTGAATCGGCGGATAGAAATCGCCTGTCGGCACACGCATGCCAGCTGTAATGCGATCTTTATGCAATTCTTCGATCTAGAGACTCTAGACTCTATAGTCGCAAATGCCACAGGTGGAGAAACCAAGAGAATTAGAACGCTCTAATCTGGCTACCGCTCAGATGCAGATACTTTATTGAGTCGATCGGTGGCGCCACTCTGTCCGACTTATGACAGCCATCGTTTTAGCCGCTTTCGCTAGGCCTTTTTGGCGGCGATTTGTGTTTATGTAAAACAAACGAGTTCGCATTCGCGATCGGCAGATATTTTGTTGCTATTTCTTAACTTGATTGTTGCCTCCTATGAATAGATCGAGAAACTGTCACCAAACACGTTTCTGTCCAAAAGAAACACACACGAAAATATTCCACTGTGTGTCGCCGCCTTGTTTGTGGCTACAAACAATTGGCCAAAAAACCAAAAAACCAAAAGCCAAAAATGCCAAATCGCATGGCCAAGTCAAGTCGTTGTTAACTTTTGTTTATACAATACCACCAAAAATAAAAAAAGAGAGGGAGAGATACAGATACAGATATAAAATACAAACAAGTGAATAAAAAAAAGGCACTAGACATTCCAGGTTCTATTTGTCATCGAACTGGAATCCCAAAAGTCATCAGATTACTAATGTTGAGGTTTTTAAAATATATTTTAATATTTTTTAATATTTTATTGTCTTTGAAAAGTTTCTTGAAATATTCTTGAATAATTTTAGAAAACCTCGATGGTTTGTACAGCAATTATAGGTAGAATTTCAAGGGTATTCGATAATTCGACCTTGTTTACACGTTTTGAAATAGATATTTATTTTTTCAGTGATTTCAGTTGGCTTTGGTGGCGAAACGTGGCGAGGCCTTTAAAGGCCGCCCGAGGCCTGGCTCGCTTTGCTTTTTTTTTTTGTAAAAATTTATTTATTTTATTCTTCAAAATATCTTTCCCTTACAATACTCGATTGGCAAACATTCCAACGACATGTGTGCATTTATAATCTACTTGATGCATGACCCTAACAAATGCGCAGATGTTTTCAAATCGAGGCAGACGTAAGACACAAATTCCTGCGTTTAATTCACTGAAACATTTTTAACAATTTCCATGCAATTTGAAACAAACAAAGGGAATGTTTGTGTTAATTGAAAGCGTGAAGAGCACACACTCTCACACACAAGACAATACTGAGACACTGAGAAAAAAAGCTACAACTATTATTTAAAGCTCTTAAATATTTTTTCTCAGTGTAATAAGAGAGAGGGGCGAAGAATTTCAGAAATCAATTATTTCGAAACTGCAAAAATTCCTACATACATTTTGCAATTGTTTATGGCCCCAAAGCGACAGAGACAAGGTGCCGCTGAGAGAGCCAGAGCGAAATAGGTTAGACAGAGACAAAGCACCAAATATGTGAGCGAACAACGGCGAGTAAAATGTATCTATGAGATACATGGCCTGATGTGGCGGTTCCTCTCCCCCCCTCGATCGTGCCCGACCCGCTCTCGCACTCATTACGTATGAGTTTGTTAGTTTTGCAGATCATTCGCTGAGCTTTATTTAACTTTTGCTCTCTCTGCCTCTCTCCCACCCCACCTATCCCCCCCCCATCGTATAGCACCCATTTTCCTTTCCTGCCTGCCTGCCTTTACAATTCATTTTTTGTTTGTTGCCACTCTCTCAGTTCAGTTCAGTTTCAGTTATATTTGGAGTCTTAATCATCGCATCGGAATGTTTACTTCAACTTTTTGTTTTTCCGTTTTGTTTTGCCCGCTTTGCCTTGTTTAAAATATGTAATTTATTTCGCTTTGTTTCTCTCTCGCCCTCTCCCTCTCTCTCTCTGTATTTTGCTCACCCCACCAGCACACCACACGATCGCCGCATTCCTTTACTCATACAGACACACAGACATACACTCTCATACACACCACCGCAGCTGCAACGCACCTTTTCTTTCCGGTTCGAGAGCGCTTTGGAATTGGAATTTATATGGGTTTTTTTGTCAGAGAGGGGTATGGGGGAGGGATATTTTATAACCGAATTGCAAGCAAGCAATTTGTAAAAATAAAATGCTAATTGCGCTAAAGAGTTCTTATTGGAAGAGTACACTCACCAGTCTCTGGGATCCAGCCATGTGGTCTTTTTGTTGATGTGGTCTATGTAGTAGGTCTTGCCGTCAAAATCCTTGGCAATGTCCCAGCCGTCCGGCAGCGGAAAATCGCTATGGTTCTGCTGCTGCTGACGATGGTGTTGCTGCTGCTGTTGTTGTTGCTGCTGCTGCTGGGGCCTCAGGTGATGGGGATGCGGCTGCAGGTGGTGTTGCGATTGGTTCGGCATTTTTTTTTTTTGTGTAAAATTATTTAATTTTTTTTTTAAGTCTGAGACGCGCGCTTTTTCTTTTGCTCTTTACTCTTTCATTTGGGGGTTTCTCTTTGCGCTGTTTACATTAGCCAAGGCATTTCTTTCATTTCTTCCACACGCACCAACACACACGCACGAACACACACGCGCGCGCAGAGATAATGGGAGATAGCCAAAGGTGGTGGCGGAGTGTGAGGGGGGCAGCTGGCAAGCTGGCTAGCTGGCGCGGGTGGAGGTGGAGGCGGGGCTGCCCTGCGCGCTCTCAATTATTTATTTACTTTTTTCGTAACTGCATTCCATTCGAGAGCACACAGACACTCGATTACACATACACGCGATCACCGCTTCTTCTTCTTCGCATTTCGTTCACTGTTGTTATTTTTTTGCTGTTTGGCTCCTTTCTCGCCCAATTGAAGCTAATTAACGCCGGCTGCCTGTTAGTTTTCAGCCTTTTCTTTTTTTATTAATTTATTTTTTTGGAGCAATACACAGTTGGACAGCAGAATTGGAACTGCCTTTTAGAGCACTCGATCAGCAGCGTCCTTCTTGGCCGTTGAGGAAGTGATCGCCGTTCGCGACCGTCCCGTAATCCAATACATGCATCAGCATTCGCACTAACTTTACAAAATTATTTATTTTATCCAGTTAACTTTTCCCAGACGCAGAGAGCCGTCCGAACGAGGCGAGAGAAAAAAAACGAGTATCGAGTATTGTAGTGGCTTCAGCACAGCGGGCGTCCGTGAATCCGTCCGTACCGTGCGCCCTCAAATTAGTTTTGATTTTTGATTCGAATACCCTACCTAGGATGGAATGGGGGCACACTAACGCCACATATTTCTTGGCGTTGGTCACACTACTTGTTGAACGGTAGTTGGCAACACTACTCCGCCAATAGAGAAAGAAATTAATCATTTCTAAGCATATTAATTTGGATTATTTTTCTGCTAATTTATTGCCACATCTTTCAACCTTAAAAAAGGTTCTTCTCTCATTTAATGAAATTCGGGCATATCTTTTAAAATAAGTTGGCAGCACTTTGCGGTATCGAAAGTCGCGCGCGTTTTCTGCAGCCTTTTGTTGGAAAACGTAGTAGTAGAAAAGTAGTATAAAAGTAGTAGTATTCCACAATAATATGGCATATCAAATTTATGATACTTTTGCAACTTTTTAAGTTATATCACGATTTATTACAAAAAATCAATAAAATTTCATTTATTGTTAAACCAACATGTTTAAAAATTAGTACATCATATATATTTAAGTTATAATATTAAAAATTTAAGTTTTAAATCATTTTGGTCCACTAAAAACTATTTACAATTATTTAACCATATTATTTGCAAATATTTAATATTTTTTATCGGCAAACAACAGTGGCCTTAACAGTGATGTTATCTGTTAACTTTTCTAAATAAACTTTTAATATTTCCCTATTTTAAGAACTTTTAAAAAGGACCAAAAGTTGTTTTCGACCGCCGACCCAAAATATATTTAATATTATATATAAATCAAAAAGTGTCTATTAAATTTATATATTTGATGTTATTGATATATGCACAATTAATAAATATAATAATATATCAAAAAAATTAATAACTAAATATAATAACTAAATCCCAAACTATAATAACCTATATAATAATATAAATAATTTGAATAAAAATAAAAAACAATAATAATAAAAACAATAAAACAAAAAAATTATTTAAATTCTTCCTCTGAATATGTTGGGGATGGGTGATGTGTGGTGGAGGGGGGGAAGGAAGGAGGAGGATTTCTGATCTTCTGCCACCGCATCCACAATTCCTTCATGGTGGAGCCCGGGATTTTTAAATCTTAGGTGCATGGCAAACTTTGGGGTTGCTTTTGAATTCGGGCACTCCCTTCGGCTGTCAAAGTCGTTCGGGTTTTGGTCCCCTAATTTCAGTGCGTGCCGGCTTGTTATACTGAAAGGTTGTGTGCTGACGGTTTTTTTTTAGAGTTTTAACCTTTAAGTGGCCAAGCAAAAAATGACTTTTTGCTATTATTGTCAGAAGCACGTACTAGGCGTAAAGTTTGTGCATGTTCCGAAGTGTATTGCAAAAAGAGCTTTGTGGGAGCAGTCTTTGGGCTGTAGACTTATTGAGAGCTCTAAAATTTGCGATAAGCATTTCAGTGCTTCACAGTGGAAGACGTTATCAGGCGCAGGGCAGCCACTGAAAAGAAGACGTCTTAATTCTACTGCAATTCCGCAAAAAGAGGCAGAACCTGAAAATTTTGCTGAATTAGGCTACGCCAATTCGAGCACGCAAACAGAGTAAGTAGCTGGGTTTAAAATTAATGTATATCTACATAAATTTATTTTGGTTTTAGGGACAAAGCGATCGACCGGGCAATTCATATTGAAAACCAAAACCTAAAAAAAAAGATAAGTCTTTTAGAAAAGGAAATGCATTCCTTACGCCAGCAACTAGATGGTTATCAAGATCTAGAAAAGTCTCTAGACAAAATATTTACTAGGACTCAAATAAATATTTTAAAGAGTGGCGGAAAAAGAGCGGTTTTTAATGCAGCCGACATGACTGAAGCAATTTGCCTCCATACCGCGGGCCCTCGTGCTTACCGTCATTTACACAAGAAAGGCTTTCCTCTTCCGTGTCGTTCAACGCTGTATAATTGGTTGGCCAGGAAAATTACACCAGGAACCCTTGATATCGTGATTGACCTTATGGAAAATGAAGATTTGCCCGAAATTGATAAGCTCTGCGTAATGTGCTTCGATGAGATGAAGGTTGCTGCTGCCTCCGCGGATGTTGTCTTGGAGCCAAGCAACTGTGTTCAAGTGGCTATAGTACGTGGCTTGAAGAAATCGTGGAAGCATCCAGTATTCTTCGATTTTAACGCTGCAATGGACGTAGCAACTCTGCACTCCATTTTGATGAAATTGCACACAAAAGGTTTTCCAGTAGTAGCCATTGTGTCAGACTTGGGCCCTGGAAATCAACACCTTTGGGGACAGCTTGGTATATCTGAGAGTAAGTCTTTTGTATGAATGAGTATATATCATAAATTTTAATGTATTTGCACTTTTAGCAAAGACCTGGTTTAGCCATCCGGCGGATGAACATTTAAAAGTGTTTGTTTTTTCCGACACTCCACACCTGGTGAATTTAATCCGTAACCACTATATCAGCTCCGGATTAAACATCAACGGAAAGAAGTTGACAAAATCGACCATCCAGCAGACAATTCGGTACTGTGCCCAGTCCGACGTGTCGATACTGTTTAAGGTAACAAATAGCCACATTAATGTTGAGTCGCTGGCTAAACAAAAAGTTAAACTGGCAACGGAACTTTTCTCCCATACAACCGCCAGTTGTATTAGAAGTTGCTATGAGTCGGGGAATATCGTAGAGAACCCGTGCGAAACAGCAGATTTTTTTGATCTTGTCAACGACTGGTTCGATGTGTTCAACACAAAAATGTCAAAAGAAAATTCCATTGAAACGACGCAGCCTTACGGAAAACAACTTCAAATGCAACAAGGCATTTTGGTTGAGATGTCAAAAGTAATGGGTAGTACGGATCGTAAGCTGCCTTTCCAAAAAGGCATTTTGGTAAGCAATGTATCCCTTGACGGTTTGCATAGCTACTTGGCGGAAAAATATGGCTTGGAGTATATTTTAACAAGTCGTCTTAGCCTAGACAGTCTTAAAAACTTTTTTGGAGCCATGCGGTCGAAAAATGGACAGTTAGACCACCCGACTCCATTGCAGTTCAAAAATAGGTTAAGAAAATATATAACAGGTATAAAAAATACAACCGTTTAATATTTCATTAATATTAACACCACTAATTGTCAAATGATTTGATATGTGATTAGAAATGCTTCAATATTTGTATTGTGCTTCGTATTTTGTGCCTTCCTTCATGTTTTGTTTTTTTTAATTTTTATCAGTTATTAATAACCTTTAAATGTTATTTAGCTACGAATACAGAATTGTTGAATGGCGAGCAAGACTATTCTGATGAGTGATTCAATTTAGACTTTTCTCAAGCCGTCCAAAATATTGAAAACGAAAAGAACGAGCCTCCAATTTAATTTTCATAACAGCTAAGACGAAGATATGATCGAGTTGGCGGAGGATGAACTTAAATACCTGGCAGGTTTTGTCATAAAAAAATTAAATTAGTTTAATAAACTAGAAAAAGAATCGACATTTACAACAAAAATTTTATTTTAAGATAGGTATATATTTTAGAATTAAGAACTTAAATCAAAGAATGGCTATCAAACAACAAAAACAAAGAATTTTGTCAAATTCAAAACTAATTTAAATAAAATTATAAACACTACAACTCTTGTCACTCTTGTCTTAAAAACTTTTAGCCCCATGCACCGTGTGCGGGTTAATCGAAGCACTGTATAGCCGTTTTACTCACACTTACTATTCAACTCTATTTCACTCGCACTTATATTAAGGGACTATAATTCTGCCGAGTGGACTACCTTGTATAATTGTATCATGGCTGGGCCGAAAGGGGAGCCTATGTCGTAACGGCTCACATATTCAAATCCGAAAACGAGTAACCGTTTCATAAACTATTTTTATACCCTTGCAGAGAGTATTATAATTTTGGTCAAAAACCCAATTAAGTATATATACACATATATGTACATACATACAAATATCACATATAGTTTGGATTATCACATACAAATATCATGAAAATGGCATTAGGATTTTTCCTGGATGTTATTATTATTCATGTAAACCGATCCGTCAAATTGAGCGTAGGACTGTATCCTTTAGCTGCAATATGGAAATACTGAACGATCGGAAAAGCTATACTTTTGATGATAATGGAGATATAAACTTGTGACTTTTATTATTCTTTTATAAAATAATAAAGACTTTTATAAAATTCCAATTACATCGAATTGGTCAGATACTGAAATTCCTATTAGGAATTATGCCCGATATTTGCGATACAAGTACATACATATGTATGTATATCCTTATTCCCTTACATTGCTTGGTTATTCTCCTAAATTTTCCAAAGGAAAACATATTTATTGATAAATTTTAAACCTGAAAATGCAAACTTCGATGTTTCTATTGCCTATGTGAGGACACCTAGAAATCGAATAATGTGTAGTATATTAATTAAAAATATTAATTAAAAACTTACGCCCTCCTCCTCGATTTTCATGATTACAATTAGGCACGCCCGAAAAATCGTAAAAATAATGACTTATTTTGTTGATTTTGTTTAATATTCTTATTTGTTTATGTTGTAATATTAACAAAGGTTGTAGATTTAAGATAACGGATCTGCCAATCGTGTAAGCTATTCCCCATAAGAATCGGATGATTATTGCCAAAGATATAGTCGTCCCTGTGGGCCATATTTTCCTTTCACCCGTTTTCCATATTTTAAAAGTGGATCCTAGAAAATTGTTCGGAAATTTAAAAAATATTTTGGAATCCGATTAATTAATCCGAATTAAGGTAATCCGATAATGAATCGCCAAGTTGTCGGAAAAGATATATTCCTTGCTGTGTGTCATATTGTTCGTTCATCCATTTCCGATATTTTGAATATAAAATATACCCTTCTCTTTGCCTTCCTCAAATATTTGAGGGGAACCACCAGAAATTGAGAAATGACTTAAACAGATTTGTTTGTTTGTACTTTTGATATTATATTTGTATTTAAAGTATTTGTAAAAATCGAGTTAACCAGACTAACACAGCTTCAGCTCAAGACACAAGCAATTTCAGACACACTTTTGTGGTAAAACGAAATGAATTGGGAAAAGGTAAGGATTGGATCCTGGCCTGGAAGTTTCCGCCTCGATCCGTGCGTTGCCAACTCTATGGATAGAATAACACGAAGCCCTAACTAAATGGTAAATTACACATAAATTAATCGGTAAAGTATCGGTCAACAACTACAACTAAATATTAGTTAATAGCGGATAAAGAGCGCCCCCATAAACTATGTACACTAGGCTAGAGTCTGCTCCGCGAGTCTGCATCCTGCGAACCTCGGATCGTGGATTTAAAGCATAAATCTCAGGCGAGGACTGGAGCACTGCAGCCATTATTTAGACGGTATTCGGCGTAGACCAAGCCGGTGTTGTGCCAGTGGTAGAAGGCGCCCACGATGATGAGGTGCCACCAGTTGTGGGAGTGTCCAACAAAGTCCACTTTTCCGGTGAACCAGCGCTCCGGGATCTTGGCGGCATAGAAGACGAAGGCGATGAGGCAGAGCAGGTACATGATGACAATGCGGGGCACCATCAGCTAAACATAAAGAAATAGTATTACTATATTGATTTCCAATCTTAAATCCACAACTTACCCTGACAAGCTCATTCTCTAGTCCTCCCATTGCCACTGCCCAGTGACCGAGTGGGATGACTCCATAGGCTGACCATAGCAGGAGCACCGCCACCTTGGCGTTCATGGAGACATTCAGCCTGGGGATCTGCACGGCAATGGCCAGGGCGAACATCCCCAGAGCAATCGTGGAGTACAGAGTCCTTAGGAAGGTGTGACACCAGAAGGCATAGTACATCCCACTGATATAGATGGCCACCAGCGAGAGGGAGATTCCCAGAAAGTCCACCGACAGGAAGAAGTCGTAGTGCTCCTCTGATTTGCAAGAGAAGATGTGGTAGATGGCGGACATGAACATGCAGAGGCAGAAGCAGACCAAGAGGCACACCACCAGCACCTGGTCGCCGAGGGAGGCGTGGGTGCGCAGGTATTGAAGATCGAAGATGGTCAGTCCGATGAAAAGGATGCAGCCGGCCAGATGGCTCCAGATATTGATCTAAAAGTGAAGGGTATGTTATTCAAATAGTCCAAATAGTAGCCGGAAATGGTAACGGAATCCAGACTTATATATGCACATATATATATGGTAATGGGGGGTTTACTTACTGTTTCATTGGTCCACCAGAAAATGCTCTGCAGGCACAACTTGTTCGATAGGAATGTGCGGTAGCCGCGTCGGATGTACGGATTGAACTTCAAATGGGTGGGGGCCTGCATCGTAAAAACAATTGAATAAACAGTCCAAATAAATACATTTTCCAATTCGATAAGGCATGCAAATTGAATGCGCAACATTGAGAGTTGAAAAAAAACAAAATAAAAGGTCTGAGCAAAATAGAAAAGGCAGAAATAAAAGTCTAGACAAATGGAGGAAACCTTTTGGGGTTGGCAGACCGCCCAATGAAAGCTTTTCACTTGGCTCAATTAAAAATAAATAGAATTAATTAAATCAATTTAGGTAGTTATGTACGAGTTCAAAGCAAGCTTTTTTTAAGAATCTGGCCAACATCTGGACTACCTTAATATTTATTTAATTTGTACTTTTCTTGAAAATATTTGTTTATAAAACCGATCAGAAACAATAAAGCCAGAAATTAATGGTAACAGTTCAGTGCCAAGTGCGTATTCAGTTACAACACTCACTGGTACTGAACTGTTTTGAAAATTCCCCGAAATTCGTATCAAGCTTCGATTTGGCCAAGTTCGGCCCCAAGGTACCTTGGGGATATACCAAGACCTGTAATATAGACCTCAACTAACAGTAGCTTCTTTTTATTTGCCACTACTATTTAAATATTTAATGCTCGCGGCTGTTGGGCTTTTTGTGTGTTGTAGCCGACCTTGATTCAGTTGGCATTTGTTATGTTTGTCTCTAATTGTATTATTTTGCAACTATGCTGCCAAGTCGAGTGCCATGGCAGATATTAGATACATAGATACAGATAGACGTATCTGTTTATTTTGGGGCTGCCATCCAATACTTAATATGCCAATAATTCAAAGCCGATGTAAATCGAAGACAATAGAATACACCTCGCTTGATAGTTTGTTAAACTTTTTACGATTTGCCCCTGATACCGCGGCTTTTTGTCAAGTCGCCAAATACAATTTGCGATCAATTAAAATTCAGAGTGCGACAATTGGTGCCAAATTGCAGATGACCCCCAAGCTTGTTACTTGCCAACTGCCAACTCACATCATCGAAATTGCAGAGCCACTTGAACTTGGACAGCTTCTCGTCATAGTTGGGTCCATGCCCCAGAACATTGGGCTCCTCGTCGGACGGAAACTGGTGTGATGCATCCGTGTCCGAAACCAGTTGGCCATCGATCTGAAAAAGTTTGCAGAAAAGATCGAAAAAAAGGAAATAAAATAAAACGTTATCAATTAGCCGAACGAAAAGGTTTAAACTAATTTGAATTTGAGGGCAAGAAGGCCCTCAATGTTTCTATGAATACGATTTTCTGATTCTTCCGCCTTATGAACAGACATTGGCAACTGGCAGTTTTGGTTTATATTTAGCCGGTAGAAACTGCACTCGAAAATGGATTTCTCAGCTATTTTTGACGTTTCTGTTGTTGTTTTTGTGTGGCTTGGGGGTTTCAGCTTTAAGATGTAAACAAAAACAATCGAGCATTGAAAATATGCAATAACAATAGCCCCGCAAACAAGGGGGCTTGACTGTAATTTGTTTATCCAGCTCCTAAATCTAATGCATAATAACAACAACAGCAACTGCGACTGTGGGGGAGAATGCATATTCATATCTAATTGCAAAAATAACAGCAAAAGCAAGTGCAAGTGCAAGTGCATGTGCGAGTATCTTATCCAATTCGATGACGTTTTGTTTACAATTCTCATAGCATTATTCTCCCCAGACATTCTAGGGAAAGCCTGACAAAGCACTTGTGCCTATAAATCTAAATTACTTGAAACCCTAAATGATATAATTAATAAAAAGATACATTTCCTAAAGTAAGGAATTTATAGTGTGAATCTCCACTGCATTTAATAAAGTGCCTACACGAGCTCATTGAGAACATTGACATTGTACACTAAATTAAATATTTTCGTACAAACTTGTCTAGTTAATTGTCGGCAAATAGAAAATAATGGAATTCCAACGATAAACAGGATGCGAGATTCAATAATTAGGCATTGACGTAGTTTGGGTTTACGTTTATTTAACTTTAGTGCATACTTAAGTACTTTTTATTTATTTTTTTTTTTTTTTTTTTTTTTTGGGAAAAGCTTACATCTTTCTTTTTGCTGCCCCGAACAAAACATTTCAATTCGGTTGTTGTTGTGGTGGTAACAATTGTAGTTTCCATTATTTAAGCTGTTTTTGATGGAATTCAAGCCAAAAACTTTTCAAAACCAGACGTGTTTTTTAAGTTTTAATTGTATTTTTATTTATATTATTTCATAACACACAAAGCACTTTTATAATCATTTAAATACACAGTTTTTTGTGAAAATATTTTTCGCAACTCCTTGATTTATTTTCTTCACTTTCAACTGAGCGCGGAAATCAAATAGACCGTTGCACTTGCTCACCAGCTGGCAACTGAAAGCCCCAGGCCCCCTGCTCGTCAATGTGGCCAATGATGGGGAAAAAAGCTTTGTGGTTTTGAAAGCTTTCGGAAATTTCGCAGCAGCCGAAAGACGATTGCAGAATATCTTTTTGGGAGAGTCGGTCAAAAAAGCGATCTTTTAACGAGCGGGAGACAGATTTTGGTTTCTCAGCCAAGAGCCTATGCTGAAATTATGCGAAATTTCATTACTGATGGGCTTTCGCTTCTTGTGCAAGAAGCTTGTTTTGGTCAAGTCAGGTTGATTAGTGAAAAAAAACACTCGAAAAAATAAAGGAAACCTATAAGATTTATATGCAAGTTGTCTTCTTTTAGTTGAAACTATCTAAAAATTATGAAATATCTTAACACATAAATAAAATAATAATTAAATTTTCGTTTTGTTTTAAACCTAGTTTTAAAGTGTACCGCCATTTTCACCGCCGAACAGAGACAAGCCCCTTTATTATATAACCGTTTTAGTCCAAGATCGGTGGCTCATTGAGAACCATTTGTAAACAAGATTTCATAACCCCGAAAGCTTGGCTTCTCACATGAATTCGCATTAATTGTTTACACGATTGCAATACACGGATGTTATGATTTGTTTTTAGCAGATGAGGGAGACATAAATAAATTTAAAAATCAAAAAAAAACTGATGCCCAGACTGAAAGCTGAGCCCAAAAACCCGTTTCGCCTTTCATTGAAGTTCAGGAATTCGTCGTATGCGCGGGGTAGACTTTCGCAATCCCTGTGAGTAAGTAAACATAATGCATAACAAGATGTATATCGATGTGGTAAGCTCTAATCGGTTACACACAAGCTATAAGCCATAATCGGCGCTCAACTTGACCTTGGCTCCATTCGCTTGGAGATCTAGTGGTCTAAGTCTAGCCCTGGGCCATGGCGAAAATCGCGTACTCGGCCAGTTTTTTGTAAGGTTATCGCAGCGGGCTCTGGGGCTCTGCGTTAGCAAGCTTTTCGTTTCGCTATTCGTTTCAACTTTGCCATCGCAGCGACGATTCAAATCAGGGGTGCACGTGTCATTTGGCAACTGGCCAAGATCGGGAGCGGTTCAGGGCACATAAAGACCAGGGCCCACAAAATCTTATAATTACTAAAAAAAATTACATCAAAGATATAAACTGAAATCAGATAATAATTTGTGTTTCAATTCTATTACCTACCATAACAACTACCTTTTAACGATATTTTTTATTTCTTCCATTAGAAATTCTACGGCTTTTATACTTAAATGGTAATGATTCATCAAAATTATTAAGTTCTTGCCGAAATTTAGAAAACACTTGTCCCTGTAGTTTAAAACATTTGTTAAAAAAAAGCCATTACTTCTTATCGAAGTCGTTAAGGACCGCTTCTATAAAAAGATAATATTTCCAGTTCCCACTTACCCAGGAACCTGCAGCATCTTTAGCCGATTTTCGAATATAGCAGGTGGATTCATCGACGGCTAGCTCCGTTTCGGTGAGGATCTCATGAGGTCGGGGGGTCATTGTGATGCAGGAGGAGAACCTGGTGGAAGGTTGCAAAAATTCGTCACTATTAGAGACAGTTATTCCAGCTATTTAATCCCTGGGATTGCCACAGCTGGTGGCCGGGCTGCCCCCTCTCCGTTTCGCAGAAGAGTGCGAAAAGTGAGACGAGGCTACTAAACAAAAGACAGCTTGAATGGTGCCAAGTGGGGAGCATGTTGCCATGTTGGAGCCAACAAAGAAAGCGTGATATTTTTGCTCTCGCTCTAGCCGCCATCTCTTCTTCACTCTATCAAGCTTAAGCCTATAAACTCTTTTATGTTTTTATAAAAATTAATTAAATAAAATATTTCAAATATTTATCAACAAATAAATATTTCAAACTGGTCGTAAAATTTCTTTCCGTGTTTAGTTCCAACGACTGCATTTCGTTTGTATTTATGGATTGGTGGCACACATTTCTCTCACAAAAACACAAAACTGTTTGCATAACCAAATTTTCTAAAAAATGCCCTGCAGGTCAATCGCCGATCTGCATCTTTAACTGCACCAGCACGTGACTTTAAAAACAGAAATTCTCAATTAACATTCCAAGCTGGGCCATATAACCTTCAATTGATTTTGATTTACTTAGGAGGGGGTTTCTTAAAAATTTCTGCCAGCCAGGCCACTCACTCGAAAATTTCGCTCACAACTTAAATGTTCTCGCCGCGCGGTAAAAAAATAAAATGAACATATTTTCAGCACCACAGCACCAACACTCGATCAGCCGCGAAAGAAAGAGCGCGCCGGCTCGTTAAAGAAGAGCGGAAGAGAGTCTGCAAGCTTTCCAAAGCTTTTGAGGCGCAAGCACGCTTGTTTTTTAATTGAGTCTTTTGAATTGATTAAATACTAATTTAGCATGCTGGGCATGAGAGATTTTACACTGAAACTTTGTCGTAGCTTCCTGAATAATTTGCATTTTCTTTGTATTTTAAAACGGTAATTTATCTCTGAGATAATTTTTTTCTTTAAAATCCTGAATGGAATTAAGAAAATTAAACCTCTTTACATATTTAAGTTCTCTGAACTCTTCTCTCTGAGATCTAGAACTCTTTCCATTATCTCTTTCTTCATATAACATCTTAACCCTCCCATTACCCAGTTTCTTTTTTTATTAACCTTAGAAAGCTGGCACTTGACTTTATAGCGGCATAGAAAGCTCTTTATGGCTCATTGCAAAGTCCACATGTTGCTCAATAAACAAAACAAAATGGCAGCAAGAAACAAAATCAGAAGATTAGAATTTTACATCACAAAAAAATATACAAAATTAGTTTTAAGCTCTAGAATTTAGTACAAATACAAATACACACACAATTAACTAAGATTGTACATATTGTGTCTTAAATGTACATATTTTAGAAAATGCTTAGACGCCAAACAAATATTAAACAACATTGTTAGTTTTCTTTAAAAAAAATAAAGATTCTGAGGTTCAAAGACCCTACCATTCTCCACCTAAGCTCTCGACTTTCATTTGAATTTTTGCAATTTTTATTTTTCCGGTTCTTTAAATATAATATAATAATAATAATAATTTTTCCAGCTGATTTTTATTTGTAGTTTTGTTTTTCTTTGTATTTAAACTTATTATGTTGATGCTGTTGTTGGTAGCTGTCTAGCTTTTAATGTTTAATGCTTACATAATTTTTCAGTAATTATTATTAAATTATTTCCATTTATGCTGTTCTGTTTCTGTTCGGTCATCAAACACACAATTATTCCCGTCCGCAGTCCGCCACCAATCTGTCAGTTGTTGATGTTGTTGTTGCTGCTACTTCTGCTGGTGCTGCCGATGTTGCTGTTGCGGCATGCCCTTCGATCCACTTCCTCCACTGGCTGCTAAGGCCCCCGATCGAGCGAAGGCGGCGACAGCGGCAGCTGCTGATCTTAACGCTGCCCTGGCTACTACCGATGTTAATGTTGGTGTTGCAATGATTGGTGTTGGATTGACTGCAACTTCTAATGTAGTTGCTGCTGCTGCCACCAATCATGCCAATGTTGTTGTTGTTGTTATTGTCAACCACCGCACGGCGGCCATTGTCAATAACGATGATTCTGCGGCTGCAGCTCCTCCACTTCTGACTATTATTGTAGACTGATGCTGACGTTGATGTTGTTATCTTTGTTGCTTTTGCTGTTGCGGTTGCTTTTACTGATGTTGCTGTTGTTGTTGTTGTGTTTGCTTTTGCTTTTGCTGTGGCTGTTGCTGCTGCTATTGTTGTTGATGTTGATTTTGCTGATTCTGTTGGACTGCTGCAATCTGGAACGCATCACATAGCATACTTTCTAGTCCACTCTCGTGCCAGCTCATTGTATTTTTCCCGATCAGTTTTATATATTCTGGCAATCTCTGGAACAAGCGGATCGTCTGGATTAGGATCACAGAGTAGAGAGCAAATTGATAATAAGACTGAAAGATAAGATAAACAACACATTAGTTTATAAAATCTCAAAAGAAGATGAAGATAACTCACCTTTTGAAATAGTTAATGCTGGCGACCACTGAGATCTTAATATATCGAGACAAATCGATCCGTTGCTGTTGATGTTTGGATGGTATATGCGCGTTGTAAAAGCCACTTTGGGTGGTTTAAAGGGATAGTCTGTTGGGAAATGTATAGTTAAGAAGAATACACCTCCTTGATAAGGGCTGTCCGGCTGTAAAAAGAAAGATATTACTTATTAGTCTTATATATTATATTTGTGTAATTATTAGGAAATACTATAGAGACTAATCTCACTGATAAGAATGCGTCTCATTCATTTCAAAACTAAGATTATTACATCTCTATCACTTAATTTGTTTTTAAATTGTAATTCAATTTATTTATAGTTATTATATCAACAGATTCAGAGAGATCTCTGCCAATTTAATGGAAAACTAATCATGTCTCGTTTCTCTTACCGGGCCCATTATTGTAGCTTGCCAGTGAAATACTGCAATAAAAAAGAAAATGCATTAATTAAACAATTGTTGGAAAAAGTATACAAGATAATGAGATTGAATTAAAGGCAAATATTAAACCAGATAGGCCTGTATAATGGCTACTATTTTCATATAATAGATACATCCTATTTTCCTTTTATCTTCTAAAGTTTTATTCCCTTGTTTAGTCTTTCTAACATTATTTTTTTTTATTTTTTTGAGACCAAGAACCAAACCCCTTGTGGTACATGACGCTCATGACTAAAACAAATGCAGCACTCTCTCAGTGGCTGCCCCTGCCCCCCAATGCGGCGCTTCCTCCGCAGAGGAGCAAAAACAAACAATGCAAGCCAAATAGCCTTGGCACCGACAATTGGCAGCGACGTCTGCGGCAGCCAAAACACACTGCGAGAAAAGGTTAAGGTTATCGCCCAGCTATCAAGCTGATTCCAGTAATGGAATCAAGTTCAGTTTTTTCCACAGTGCAGATGTAAGCTGCAGCTGAACCATGGCCAAAACGGAGCACAGTCCCAGCTACTGTCAATGCCATCATGGGGAGCTAGATGGCTAGGGGAAACCTTTCTCTCTCCCCGTGTGCTGAGAACTGAGAACTGGGCCGTCGGCCACCAACTGCTGTCCTGACCATAATTACACGAAATGTTCATTTGCAGTGGGCGGGAGTTTGGGTGCTTCAGTCCGACACGAGAGGGCCCAGACGACAGTAATCTCCTAGCTGCAGCCCCGATTATGCCACTTGGCAATAATCAATATTTTCTGGGAAAAGCAAAGTGATAAAATCTCCCAAAAGGGGGTATTAAAAGACGAGAAATTAGAAAAACAAATAAATCAACCATTAAGATAGTTAGTATTTAATTAAATTCAATTTAAAGGCTATGACTATGCGATGCCTTCAAGGATTAGTCCAGTCATCCACCTGAACCGATGACCATTCGAAGGGACTTGTAACTGGCCTTGGGAAGTCAACTGCAGGCCCCTCCCTAGTTTCTTATCAAGTTCCTTTTTTTTAAGATAGTGGCTACGCTTATATACATTTTAATATGACGGCTAAATGTTGATAAAAAGAAAACTAAATAGTCAGCCACAATTATCAGTAAACGATGACAATTAGTATTATTCATGGGTTTGTCTTTAATTGAATCTTATTCTTATTCATATTTAGGGGGTATTCTCATGCATTTTAAGTTTGAAAATTAAATACATTTCGAATACTTAAGGATATTCCATAGACTATAACTAACTATATCCAGTTATTTAGCAAAACTATGTAATTACACGATTTCACTTTTCTGTGACGTCATTGGAGAGTGACCCCCATTTGGCGGCATGGCTTTCTGTTGGTTTCTTCCCACAGAACCGCTATACGTGCCATAAGGTAACTGAATGTGATCCGCAATCGGTGGGAATTAGTTGGCTATTGGATGGAGATTTAAATGGATTTGAGCTTAGTTGCAAGACAGCAAAAGCCAGAAAGAAACAATATCTGAAATCAGAACCAAGTCATGGCGATCAGCTGTTTGGAGGTCGACCAAGAAAACCCAAGAAATCACGAACCACAAACATGACGTGTTAATAATTCTATGATTAATTCAAAACTAAAACCCAGCTATAATACAAATATTAAACAATATTAGTTCTACTTCTATGCATTTTTGACCTTTTTGCTTTTTTTTATCTTTTCTTAAAAATATATCTGACTCATCCTCTTTGGCGAATACTTACAATCATCTCCAACTGGACCAGCTGAACATTGTGCAGGTGGATCTCTGCCCAGATCTTGCAGTTCCTATAAGAAAACAAAGAATTAGTATTTATTCAAAATTTGTAAAGTTTACTAGTAGGTTTTTTTTGTCACAGTCGCGTAATGTATAGTCTTATATCTCCAATTACTAATAAAAACCAGTGTTTTGTTTCAAAACCCCTCTATGAGCAAACAAAAAATGCATTTCATTGCGTCGGCTAATGGGTTCCGGCTCTCGGTTCTTTTGTTTTGGTTTATAATGCCAGATATAAACATTTCCCGGGTGTGTAGGCGGCGGTGCGGCGGCGTGGCACGGCATGCAAATGATGTAAATTTTAAAATGCAAAATTTTAAATAGAAATATGAAAAACACACTTTTCTGCGGACATGGACATGCGACAGTTCGGTTCAGTTTTAAGAGAGAGCACCAGCAGAGGCGAGAGACGCGAAAAATTAAGTTCGTTGGCCCGGACCACAAATGGCGCTGTCTCCCCCTTTTTTTTGCCACCCCGCCGCCTCGCCCCATCTCTGTTGCACACGTACGCACACAGCTGAGCAGCCCTGTCCTTCCCCCTGACACCCCCCACCGACCCAACGTCTTCGGTTATCACAGCTGCCACACAAACACACCAATACACTAACACACACAAAGAGAGAATGTGGTGTAAGGTAAACCGGCAAAATCGTAAAAAAGAAGATGAACAAATAATGAAGATGAGCTGTGAAAGGTGAGTGAAAAATAAAAGCGCGGCTCAGGGGTGCAGAGTTAAGAGCAGGGTAAATGAGAGCAACAAAAAAAGGGAGAGCCCTGTGGGCTGGTGTGTGTGTGTTTTTGTAACGGCACCCCGAAAAATTGAGCTTCTCAATTGTTTTTGTTGTGCGGAACATAACAAAAATAGCCGCTAAAAAACGACTTTTTTTCGCTTACTCACTCATTCAAAGCATTGTACCTGTTGAGCAGAAAAACTTACACGAAGAAATGGTAGCATTTAAGGTGAGACGCCAACGCAAAATCGTCAAAAAAAGAAATTATGACTCATATAAAGCGGCAACAAATAAAAACAAAATCCACACACATACGCAAGCTTATGTCTCAAGAGAGCTTGATCGGGGGCTTAAGCCATGTGCTCTCTCTCTCCTTTCCTCCCTACAACAGCAGAGGTAACACAAATATATATTTTTTATATAGGCATTATTATTTTATTCTCAAAATATATGAAAAGCCCTTGATAATATTTAAATAATTTATAATAATAATCTTTTACAAAAACTCTTACTTACTTTACAAAAACAAAAAAAGAAATCACATATCTATTCTGTTGACCTCTGTTGTTTAACTCTCGTTTCGGCTGCTTTCGGTCTTTTTGGGCAATTGAGGCCAAGAGACAATGGAAAAACCTTGAAGCTCCAGCCAAGAGCTAAAAGGGGGCGGGATCTTTCGACGTTTGAATTATTTTCTTTGGAATGTTTTTATTCCACTTCCTGAATACCACTCACAATTTCGTTTTCATATTGTCGGGAAAATAATTTTATAATAGCAAATGGGGAAAAATAAAGAGGAAAACTCAATGGCCATGACGCTGGCGACGACGTCGACCGCGCCGCTTTTGTTGCGACTGCGACAGTCAGCAGACCCCCCCAAAACCCCACACACACTTGTTCGTTTACACCTCATGACAGTCTCACGGTGCATACACGCACGCACACTTATCAGTCATAATGTACCACTCATTTCATATGTAAATTATGCTTAATTATAATTTAAAACTAATTATTTGGGGGGCCCCTTTCGACTGCCGAGTGTTTTTCAACACTAAACAGCAGGGAGCACACACACAGACAAACACCCGCTTTTGGCTCAGCCCCATTCGCTTTGGCGCAGGCGGCGAGAAAGAGCCAAAGCGAACCCTCAGCTGTCGCAAGTGCGAGCTGCTAGAGTCGGAGCAAGACAGCCTGCAATGGTAGTGAAGCAATGGCGAAGCACTATATGCCTGTGTTGGTGTTGGTGGGGGTATGATGACTATGATAACCGGCTGCAGGCCACGAAAAATTCTTTATTTCACAAAGTATCTTTCCATTACTTTGTAGCCTTTAATTAATAATATGAAGGGACGAATTTAGAAGGTGATTTAACCCTGTAACCCCGTAAAATATCCCTCCTGCCCAGGGGGTGGCCTTTTTGTCGGCGAGCGAGAGCGAGAGCCCAACGGTTCGGGCTCTTCTGAAAAGCTGAAAAACTACGAGAGTGCCGTGGAAAAGCGAACAACATTCATTGCATGTTGTTTGCAGTTCCGAATGTGTGTTGTTCACTTGGTTGCTTATGATTTACATTACTGGACAAGGACAAACGACGCAGGCAGGCACTTTAAAAATAATTATCGAAATTTACTCGCCAAAGCCAAACACGCACACCAAGGCAACTGCAATCACCTAGGCAAACCAAACCATATATACACTGTATGTGTATAATGGGCGAAACACTATTTCTGAATTATCAGCGCAAAAGTAGGGTTAGGTTAATTTTATACTTTTGCTGTTTTATTTTTTGCTGGATCTTTCTGCGGCGCTGGCACACACACAACCGCGCGCGTGTGCGTGTGCCCCCATGTATGAGTGTTCGGCGGAGAGAATGCGAGCGTATGAGTGGGCTGCCGTGTACAGCGTGTATTGGGTAACAGCGTAAAGTATAAACTCCGCCGTATAGTCGCATTAATGCATCCAGGTGCCCGGCACACGGCACACCGAACACATGCCCACTTCCAATGCACTTTCTCACACACGACAGGCACAGGGACGACAGGGGGGCGGGCAGGGGGCTGCTCACGCATAACGGAAACGATGACTGCACTCTCACACACACACACACATGCTTAGCCTCGATCCCTTTGCACCCTCTATGGATAGGATATTAATTTCTAATTAGAAGCGATTAACTTATTAATTAGTGCCGAAGCCGAATCGTATGCCATTGCCGATCGCCCATTTTACCCTCTGCCTTTTGCACGTTTCGGTTCGTTTCGCTGGCTTGTGCTTCTTCTACTTTGTCGAGTTCCTACGTTTCACATTTCTTGCATAAAATGTTTCTCTCTCTCACGTCCGTTCACATTTTTCTCTATCTTAAAATTTGTCGTTTCTGCAACACATATCTTTTTTTTCACGTCGTAGAGCTGCAGAATTTTTTCGTTTTTTTTTTCACATACCTTATTGATTCTTTTTAACGCCATTTTCTGATTGAAATTTGATTTTCTGGGTTGTGTGTGTGTGTGGTTGGTGGTGGTGGTGGTGTTAGTGTCGAGTGGCTTGCTCGCGTATTCTTTTGTTCTTCGCTCGAGTTGCACAGAAGTAATTGAGGGATTCTCTTTTTCGGTTATAACAAACGAAACACAAAGCTGCGTTGCGCCTCGAAAACTTTGATGCTTAAATAAGGCCCAACGACTCTCTCTCCCTGTCTCGGCTGTATTATAACGAAATAAGGCAGCACCAGCGCACGGCGACCCGACGGTGTACAGAAACTGCAAAGAAAATATATATAATATATCGAAATATCGATACTTCTTGGGAAGAGAAATATTCAGGGTTGAGAAATCCGTCAAAATTTCCCAGTGTGACCAGCTATAGAGGTAACAAAGTGGCCATATTTTAATTTTTGTTGGTGTTGATTTTTTTTTTATAAAAAGGTTAAAAAAAAATGGCTGTTGCCAGCAATTGTCTAGAAACTTCTTAATTTGTCTAGCAAGGGTGCCATAAAGATATAAAAATCTAAGGCTAATTCTAATGGCTTATTCTCCAAAAAGGTCAACAACAACGAAAAATTTCAAAGTCAATGAAATTATGTTTTTTCACGTGTTTGTAAAGAGAATCTGTTAATTTTAACTAATACAATCCATTTTTACATTTGATCAAAAGACGTATTGAAATATTTTAACGCAAAGTTGAAAAAGTGCAAAAGTTCAGTTTTAAACTTTTTCACACCACATTTTCTTTTACTTAATCTTTCTTAACAGAATCATTATCCATTGATATTCGACATTTTAAATATTGGTTTATGTTCAAAGAAAATAAAAAAAATTTAAAAGATGCGGTACTTTTTCTATATCCGTCAAATATATAATCAGAATTTCTCATTATAATTTAAATTTTAATTTGAAAAAAAAAAAAAATTAAAATTTTTACAAAGCCTAAAAAAGGTTGGTTTTGACATTAAAAATCATATAACAGTAACGGTAAAGTTAATTTTATAATAATATCAAAAAAAATTTACATATTGTCTCTTTGTCTCTCTTGTTTGGTTTGGTTTTATAACAAAACAAATTATAATTTTTATCTAAAGTTTGAAGTTAATGCTGAAAATAAAAAATGGAAATTGAATAAAATTAATCGTATTCACTTCTAATTACCTTAAAAGTACAAAAAAAAACATAAAATCAATGATTGAAGAAAATGTCGACATTGATAATGAAAATTAAATTAAAATAAAACGGCCGAACATTTTTAAGTAAAACATAAATAAATATGATGAACTATTAATAAGTAACATTTTAAAAGTGTTGGTACGTGTTTCTTTTATTTGAACCGCGTGCGACATTGAAAAAAAGCCCATATGCCGTTGTACTTACCCCCTAAAACGTTTTGCAAACAAGATTTCCGGTGTGTGCGATAGTGTGGACGGTGTTGCACAACGTCAGTTCAACAGAGCAGGCCAGCTATATTCACAAGAATGTCATACATCCGTCTCGTCGGGTGGCCGGAGTCTAGAAATACCTGAAAAGTGGCAGCGCCGCGGCTTTAAAATGTTTGAATTGGCCGGCTTATCTTGGGTTCTTACATTAATAGAATCCCAGGTGAGAGAGACAGAGAGAACAGAAACTTGAAGCCCACCGGCAGCGATAAGGTTTGCTAGCTTCACTTTCGATTATGATGGTGCCTGCCACTGCTGCACGAAACGTTGCAATTTGATTTTTAGTTGTAAGCACACAACGTGTTTCTGGCTGCCGGAATGTTTTTACTGAGCAATTTTGATCAGCTGCTGTTCTGTGAGTGTGAATTTGGCCGGCTAGCCGACTACGTTCCTATGTGTCAAAATTAAGGAGAAATAATTCAAATTTTAGCTCCGATGATTCGGAAGCCCTGACTTAACAAAAATATGTCTTGTAAAACGGTATGGTATTTTCTGGTACGGTCACACTGTCCCTGTCTGCAAAATATTTTAAACAAAAAGTGCTTTTAATTAAGTAATTTTGCCAGCCATTGTTTATATTTGTGATGTTGTGAGGCTGTTTAACGGTTGTGCGACGACCTTGTTCGTTGGGATAACGGGTTTTAGCAGTTTTTCGTGGCCTTATATCGCTAGCCCGCTCGCTCCAAGGCATTCGGCATCGACCTTTTCCTGTGAATTTCCACATACTCCTCCCGCAATTTACACACACAATTTATAATTTATTTTTGCGCTGAAGAAGCCGTAAGAACCGAAAATGTGCGAGTGCTGATAATTTCTGCAGCGGTTGCTTCCGCCTAATTTTGTGCAACATGCGGCAGGTGGGGAACGGTACTGCTGCTGCTGCTGCCACCTTCGCTCCCATCAAAGAGTTCTCTTCTAAAATCCAGCCAAGAGGCAACAAAAACAACAAAGGACGCCAGCAGCTGCAAGCCCACGCCCACGGCTCCTCCCCCGCTGCCAACGCCTCTGTTTTCGATTTATAGTAGTCATGCCAACAACAACTACAACAAAAATCGAAGAAGAGGTAGCCGGAATAAGGCAACAAAATAGCGATACGCCAATGGCGACCCCAACAAAAACACCAACAACAACAACGGCAACAAGAAGGGAAGACCCAGAAGCTGCAGCGGCAACGGCAGTAGCGGAATATACTGCAACCAAAACTGCAGCCATATCAAAGACTTCAATTAAAAAGGCCACTGAGGATCAAGTGGCCCAACAGGCAACGCCGTCGCCGTCGCCGACGCCGACGCTGCTCCCACTGCTTGCCTCGGCGGCTGCATGCCACAAGCCGTTGCTCTTCTGTAGACGCTTCCAGGATAAAAGGAACTTTAGCTCGCTTCCGCTTTTCGTTTACGCGACATCGCCCTCCACGCACGCCCACTCCGCCGACGGCGTGGGTGTGGCCAAGGAGGCAGCCGCTTTTAGCCACAAGGTGAGTTTTGTTAAAGGCCTAGAACACCTGTACACCTATCTGTACTTGTACCTGCACTTTAAAAATAAGCATAAAAAATGTACAATATTGTCAGAATTGTGTGTTTTTTTAAATAAATTATATCTGCACTGTGTACTCTCCCATTTGTGTCTGGTTCTTTTGATGGAATCCACCCGCTTTTCCGTTCCAAACTTGCGTAATGGATCGTTTCCGCTGCACTTGCTGCTTGGCTTTGGATCGTGCCATATCTGAGTTATAATTCCCGCCCAAGCCATAGTTGTACAGTGAATACCAAGTAAAACGAACAAAAAAGGGTATTTTTTATTAAATTTAATATTTAAAATTTTTAAAACTATTTAAAGGTTTGTATTGTATTATATTTTATTTTTATAAATATTAGTGTTAAGCAGTTACCACTGTATTTACATATTTTTTTAAGTTCTGCTTGGCTACCGCGGTTATGGCACCCTTCTTATCGCTCCCCGCACCCTCCTCCCCCGGCTATCGAGTCGGAAATCGGGCTTTCAGAATCAGATCGCCATTAAAAATGCATTTTTATTGTTAATCAAAATAATATTGTGGCTTTTTCGGGGGGAGGGCCTCATATCTGAGTATATCTGCAGCAGCGGCGGGGTGATCGCTCAAACGTGTCAGACATTAATGAGCCAACCGCCAAAGCCGAGCGTAACTGTGCTTTGTTTTTGGATTTCGGTGGGCGGGGGGCTGGAATGGGGCGGTGGCGGTATAGGTATGGCGGTTACAGGTGCAGCCATTGACTGGCGGAGCGCTCTCCTTTTGTTGCGGTTCTTCCTCTCGGTCTCTCTCTCTCGCTTCCCTCTCTTTTGCACACTGCAACGCTTCACTTGCCCCTGTGGTTGTTATTTTTGTTGCAGTTCAGTGAGTTGCGACTTGTGCGCCGCTGCTCATAAGCTTCATTAGCAGGCAGTAGCTCCAAAAAAAGCTTCTCCAAGTAACCAAAGCTATCTAGTAGTTTCTCCAAAAACTTTAAAAAGTCAGGTGTTGCTAAAAAATTGAATTTTTTAAGATTGATATTCCAAAACATTAGGTAGATTTTAGACATCTGCATGATTACATTCATAACATTCGTCTCAAGGAATACTTTCGAATGGAATAGAATGGAGTGAAAGACATGCTTGAAATGTCATTGAATTCCTCAGAATTCTCTCATAATTTGACAGGTCAAACTTAATGAAAGAGAATGAACGAAACGAAAAGTGAAATTAAAGATTTGGCAATGCCTTGTATACTTGAATCATTCGAGTTGTTTCATAGGATTTCGATACATTCCTTTTTTGACAACTCCAGAACAAAGACGAAAACCAAATGGTCAACCAAATAAAAAAAGAAGCCTACTACTTTATGTTACAAGTAGAATTATAATTTATAATTTTTTATAAAGGTGTCAATATAAAGACAAAAATAGAGGCCATATCTACTAGATATCAAATGGCAACATTAAACCCATGTTGCTCTTGCAGACATCCATAAAACTTGGACACATCATTTAATTTCCATATTATTGTAATATCTTGTAAACCTTCTTTTTATTATTCAATTAAATAGAGAATTAATATAAATTTTAAACCTTTTCTTTGCATTCCTCGCGCTTTCTTTTCAAATGTTTGACACTTTCCTTAGGTCTGCGGCGCTTTCTAGCGTGGGTTTCCCCCCCAAGACAGTGCCTCGCTTACCATAGTGGGTGTGGTATCCACTTTTTATGAGCCAAGCAGTATCTGTGACTTTGGTGGGCGGGCTGCACATTTCTCCCGATAAAGAGTTCTACCATAATTCTATCAAACATATCGCAGCCCTACTGTTTTTCAAATACAATTTCGCTGCCCTGCTGGTTGTTTACATTTTCAAATTTAAATCAATTTTGTTTCTGATTGTGCGGCTTAAGTGGCAGGAGGCAGTCCCCTCCACCAGTTTGGAGCTTGTCTTTCTTCATGTTTATGGCTGCCATATGTGTATCTGTATCTGGAGCAATGTATCTTTTATTACCCCTACATATTGTGGGACAGTTGTTTTTGGGTGCAGCGCCAACAATTGTCAACCAGATCTTACATCTGCCCACCCCACTGCTTCTCTAGAAATATCTTTGATTGGAAGTGCTTGGAGACCTCCCTGATTGACACAACAACTATCCCCTGGTTTCTGTTTACAATCAATATTTCCCCCTTTCTCGATTGCTTCAAGTAGTTTGCTTTTTGCGGAATTTGTTTTGATTTTTCGAATTCCCATGAGAATAGTTTGAAAGGTGTGTGATAAGAGTGTATAATTATATAGTGTATGTGCTGTACATACTAATTAAACCTTAACTCTGTTGTGATTAGATAAAAATAGATACCATATATCATTGTTCATACATAGATTAGGCAGTTAATCCCGTGATTGAATGTCCCAAATAAACCCCTTTTAGAGCAAAGATCGGTGATTCTGCAAATAGCCTCAGATAATGAGGGTTCTTCAAAATCTTCCACTAACAAGCAAACAAATGCACTCCAGGAACGAGCCCCTCCGGCCATAACAACCGCGTCCTCGTATCTATTTCGCTAATTAAACAGTAATGTCTCGCTATAAGGTGCTTCGGAACATTAATCAGAGGAACTGCTTGCCCTACAAAAAGTTAACCAAGGGCGTTGCTTTTATCAATTTCACAACAAACCATTCAGTAAACTGCCTTCCGCTTATCGCGCTTTGGAAACTGGAGTTCATCAGCCAACAAGGATTATTTATTTATAATTAATAGTAGTTTGAAAAGGTTTGGTTTGCTTTAGAATCTATATCTTCAAGTTGACTCCCGGGTAACCCTTGGCGTTGAGCCCCGTCACCTGGAAGATGGTGCCGGCGGGCTTGGGCAGCTCGGAAATGTTGGCTGTCGTCACGTAGAGGATGTCCAAGTTGGGGCCTCCGAAGGCCAGCGAGGTGACCTGGCTGGTGGGAAGCTTAATCTCCACGAGGATCTTTCCAGTGCTGTGGATTAGAAAATAAATCAGTTTATGGGAAATGGGGAAGAACCATATAGATCCTACCTTGGATCGAACTTAAATACAGAGGAACCACCGAAAGTGGCCACGTAAACGTTGCCATCGGTATCAATGGTGAGGCCGTCGGGATAGAGAGGACCCTCGGGGCGGATCTTCCTCAGATCGAAGACGACCTTTGGGTTGGTAACGGCACCAGTGCTCTGGTTGTAGTCGTAACCCACGACCTCAAAGTTGTTGGTGTCGGCGTAGTAGAACTTCTTGGCCTTGGTGTCCCAGGCCAGGCCGTTGGAGAGGCCCACCTTGTCCTTGATGACCTTCAGCTGACCCTTCTCCCAGCTGTAGAGCTCTCCAATCCACAGGTTGAAGAAGTCCTCGGTGCCGTGGGCCATGGTGCCTCCGTAGAAGCGTCCATTGGGATCAGTCTTGGCGTCATTCAGTCGGTTCTCCTTCAGCTCCGGCCGGATCTCAAAGAGGGTGCGCACCACCTTGGCCACTGGGGATAAACCGTCCCACTGGACGATCGCACACCGACGAATGCAGCCCACGGCGAACTCCTGGGGCTTGCCCTCGATGGGTAGGATGAAAGTGGCGTACGTCTCGCCCTCTATTTTGGCCTTGTAGATCTTCTTCTGTTTGTAATCGTAGCGGTTGATGCCGGCCGTTTCGAGGTCCACGTAGTACAGGCTTTGACGAGCCTCATCCCAGTGGGGTCCCTCACCCAATCGGGCCACTGAGTCCGGCAGAGGTTCAACCTTGTACGACATCTGCGATAATTTGATTTATGAATACTATAGATCCCCTCTGGCTTCTTGATACACACCTTTAATCAAATAACAAGCAGGAATCCGCGACACTTCGATCAGCTACTGATTTCAAACTGAATTAAATCGAACTGCTTAGAACAGCTTTTATACCTGCCTTCTAATTAGCTGAGTCACGAATCAGCCGTTTAGGTTCTCTGTTTAAGGCTGTTATCAGTAATCAGTGTAGACAAAATAGAATTATTCAGGTATTTGAGATAACCAATAACAGCATAGTATTTAAAATATTACTTTTATTAAAGACCATGGCATAGTTAGCTTTGATTCTAGATCTTCAAACTGACCCCGGGGTAACCCTTGGCATTCAGTCCCGTCACCTGGAAGATGGTGCCAGCAGGCTTGGGCAGATCGGTAATGTCGCCGGTCGTCACATAAAGGATATCCAGGTTGGGGCCTCCAAAAGCCACCGAGGCGACCTGGCTGGTGGGAATGGTAATCTCCAGGAGGATTTTTCCAGTGCTTTGGATAAGAAATAATTAGATATATCGCAGGTGGCCTAAATAAGAGTCAATCGTGTCTTACCTGGGATCAACCTTAAAGACAGTGCCTCCCCAGAATGTGGCCACGTAGAGGTTGCCCTCAGTATCGACGGTAATGCCATCGGGTAACAAAGGGCCTTCAGGGCGGATCTTCCTCAGATCAAAGGCCACCTTTGGATTGGAAATAGCGCCAGTGGCCTGGTCGTAGTCGTAGGACTCGACTTCAAAGTTGTTGGTGTCCGCGTAGTAGAACTTTTTGGCTTTGGTGTCCCAGGCTAGGCCGTTGGAGAGGCCCACCTTCTCCTTGAGGACTTTCAGCTGACCCTTCTCCCAGCTGTATAGTTCTCCATTCCACACGTTTTGGAAGTCTTTGATTCCATGGGGCATAGTGCCTCCAAAGAAGCGCCCGTTTGGATCGGCTTTGGCATCGTTTAGTTGGTTGTCTTTCAGTTCTGGCCTAATCTCGAAAAGGGTGCGCACCACCTTGGCCACTGGGGAGGTCCCGTCCCACTCGACGATCGCACATCGACGCAAGCAACCCACGGCGAACTCCTGGGGCTTGCCCTCAATGGGCAGGATGAAAGAGGCATACTTCTCGCCCTCTATCTTGGCCTTGTAGATCTTCTTTTGGTTATAATCGTAGCGGTTGATGCCGGCCGAGTCGAGGTCCACGTAGTACAGGCTTTGGCGAGCCTCATCCCAGTGGGGTCCTTCGCCCAATCGGGCCTTGGAATCAGGCAGAGGTTCGACCTTGTACGACATCTGCGATAATTTGAATACCTCTTTGACTTGATGAATAATATAGATCCCTTAAGCTTCCTGATACACACAAGAAGGACACCACGAAACTTCGCTCAGCAACTGACTTCAAACTGAATGAAATATAACTTTTTAGAACCTCTTTTATACCTAACAGCTATTAGCTAGTTATTAGCTAAATAAGCATGATTCAGTCATTTAGGGTTACTACGTAAGGATGTTATCAGTAATCAGGAGAGTCTATATACTACTCTATTTACCGCAGAAATAATTCAGGTATTGGAGATAAACAATGAAACAGCATAATTTTGTAAGTTTTATTTTTATTAAAAGTCATTGTATATAGCTTTGAATCTATATCTTCAAACTGACTCCAGGGAAACCCTTGGAATTCAGTCCAGTCACCTGGAAGACAGTACCAGCTGGCTTGGGCTGATCGGTAATATCAGCGGTCGTCACATAAAGGATATCCAGGTTGGGGCCTCCAAAAGTCACCGAGGTAACTTGGCTGGTGGGAATGGCAATCTCCAGAAGGATTTTTCCAGAGCTTTGGGTTAGAAATAAAAAATCAGTAAACGGAGATGTTACCGAACAAGATAGATCCTACCTTGGATCGACCTTGAAGACAGTGCCTCCCCAGAAAGTGGCCACGTAGATGTTGCCCTCAGTATCGATGGTAATGCCATCGGGGTACATAGGGCCCTCTGGGCGGATCTTCCTCAGATCAAAGGCCACCTTTGGGTTGGAAACAGCGCCAGTGGTCTGGTCGTAGTCGTAGGACTCGACTTCAAAGTTGTTGGTGTCCGAGTAGTACATCTTCTTGGCTTTGGTGTCCCAGGCCAGGCCGTTAGAGAGGCCCACCTTCTCCTTGAGCACATTCAGCTGACCTCCAGCCTGCCAGCTGTAGAGTTCTCCATTCCACACGTTGAGGAAGTCTTCGATTCCATGGGCCATGGTGCCGCCAAAGAAGCGCCCGTTGGGATCAGCTTTGGCGTCATTCAGCCGGTTGTCTTTCAGTTCTGGCCGGATCTCGAAGAGGTTGCGCACCACCTTGGCCACTGGGGATAAGCCATCCCACTGAATAATCGCACATCGACGGGTGCAGCCAACGGCGAACTCCTGGGATCTACCCTCGATAGGGATTATAAAGCTCACAACCTTCTCCCCCTCTATTTTGGCCTTGAAGATCTTGTTCTGCTGGAAGTCGTAGCGGTTGATTCCAGCCGAGCTGACGTCCACGTAGTAGAGACTCTGCCGAGCCTCACACCAGTGCGGGCCCTCACCCACTTGGGCGTAAGAATCCGGCAGGGGTTCCACTTGGTACGACATCTGTAAAACTAGTAGAGGTAGTACTCTTTTCAGCTCAAAACTCCTCCTACCTTTAAGTAAATAATGTTTCTGGAAATCGGCCGTGAAAACTGACCCTATTGCCCAGCTATCGCAAGTAAACTGACTCAACTGAAACTGTTTAAAGAGCTCTTATACCTTCCTTTGGCGATAGCTAACAGTGGGGCTCTTAAAAAAGAAATATTTCCATTCTGAGAGAGAAACAAAGCTGTTATCAGTAAATAATATCAGTAGTTTTGAATTCATAATGAACCCCAAGATGTAGATATGATTGATTGCCTCATCAAGAGTAGTTTTTCAAAATCTTGTTGGATTAAAATAATATATTTTTATTTATATAGTTTAAGATTGACCCCCGGGTAACCCTTCGCACAGAGCCCCGTCACTTGGTAGGTGGTGCCCGCTGGCTTGGGCTGATCATACTTGTCGGCTGTCGTCACATAAAGGATATCCAGGTTGGGTCCTCCGAAGGCCGCAGAGGTGATCTGGTTGGTGGGGATCTTGATTTCCAGCAGAATCTTGCCCGATCTGCAGATTACGAAATGAAATAAACTTTTCTGATAAATAATGCGATTGGGATCTCACCTTGGGTCGACCTTGAAGACAGTGCCTCCGTTGAAAGTGGCCACGTAGATGTTGCCATCAGTGTCGATGGTCATGCCGTCGGGGAAGAGAGGTCCCTCTGGACGGATGCACCTCATATCGAAGATGACCTTGGGCTTGCAAATAGCGCCCGTGGACTGGTCGTAGTCGTAGGCCACTACCTCGAGATTGTTGGTGTCGGCGTAGTAGAACTTCTTGGCCTTGGCGTCAAAGGCCAGTCCATTGGAGATGCCCACCTGGTCCCTGACCACGTTCACCGGGCCACCAGGCTGCCAGCTGTAGAGCTGACCCTTAAACTGGGTAAAGATGTCGCCCTTGCCATCGAACATGGTGCCGCCAAAGAAACGACCTTCGGGATCAGTCTTGGCGTCGTTCAGGCGGTTATCCTTGGCGTCTGCCTGGACCTCGAACAGCGTGCACTTCACCTTGGCCACCGGGGAGCAGCTGTCCCACTCGACGACCACCACGCGCCGGGTGCAGCCCACGGCGAACTGCTGGGGCTTGCCCTCGATGGGCAGGATGAAGGTGGCCCACTTCTCGCCCTCTATTTTGGCCTTGTAGATCTTGTTTTGCTTGAAGTCGTAGCGGTTGATGCCGGCCGATTCCAGGTCCACGAAGTAGAGGCTCTGGCGGGCCTCGTCCCAGTGCGGGCCCTCGCCCAACTGGGCGTACGAGTCCGGCAGAGCTTCAACCTTGTATGACATCTGAAAAATAATTAGAATATAATCGTAATTATTTTTAATTTTCTGTTTTGGGTGCACACCTCCATAAAAAAATAAACAATTATCGAAAGCACTGAAAGCCATTAAGTTTCTATATATTCTCGAGTATATAATTGCTTTCCGGCCAACACTCTCCCTTTTTTAGGTTTTGCATACCTTTGAGATTAATTATATAGTGAGTGGCAAGAGCCCGTTGGAAAACAGGTACTTCTCGGTCAGCTAGCGTTCGCAAACTAAATTGGGACACATGGGTTGAAATGCTTATATAGCGGAATATGACAAGAGCTCTCTGTGGGGGACTCTCCCGCCCCTAAGTTTCAAGATGATAAGCCCTATTTCAAGTTCCTATGTGGCTGTTATCAAGAAGAGCTCGCAAAAAGGGGATAAATTAAGTATTGAGGTGGAAGACTATCTATGATGATTCAGAAGATCTAGAACTTATAGAACTCAATTCTTAGATATAGGTAGGGAGATGACCTTTAGGGACTAACAGAACCCTCTCATTAGGAAAATTGAACTCTTCACTGTGACCCCCCAACCCCATATAGAGATATCTTATTTAAACAATGACACACAATCATTGTAGCGCCATTACCACCATATATCCTTTATCTCGAAAACCAAAACAAATATCCATATCTGGTGGAAATAATTACGAGTTCCTTGTGGTGGTAGCCATGGCGAGGCACTTGAAGCGGGTATGGAAATGAAAGGTCGTAAAACCATGGATTTAACCATACGATTTGTCTTATCAATTTCCATAAATAACTGGAACTATAACTCGAGTTGTGCTTCTACCGACCCCGCCTCCTTTTCGGCTCTAAGAGCCCTAGTGGGGGATCCATTGATTAAACCTTTGGTGTTGGGTGCCATGGAAACGTTCGGGTGGCTCGAGTAGCTCGCGATGCCCTTCACGTGTCCCACTCGCACCCCCTAGTGGAGTGTCAGGCGAGTGTGTGGTTGTCTTGGCTCCTTGGCGAGTAATTAAGCGGCCAGAAAGAGCCAGAGAGAGTCACCCGGGGAGGGAGAGATAAGAAAGGCCGGCCAGTTGGACAGTGGGTCACTCGAGCGATGAGTTCTGGCTTTGGTGTTGGTCTCTTACTGTACTTGTCCAAGGCGGCTTTATATGGCACTGCAACATCAGCACCAAAGGCAACAACAACCATAATAAAAACTAATGAGTTGCTTAGATACCCTGGAAAGAGGCCTAAAGAAAGGGTAGGCTAGGGCTTTGATTTATTTGATTTTAAATAAAATTATTGTTATTTTAATACGAAAAATTATAAAAAAAAACCATAGTCTTTAATGTTTAGAAAATAATCCCCTTCAGTGGGTGTTCTCAAGTCGAGTCCCTCTCTTTAGTTAATCGTTCCTACTATTGCTGTCCGATGTTGCTGCCACATTTGATGCGACGTTGCTGCCGCCAGTTGTCCCAGTGTGTCTCTGGCCCAGTGCATTACCCTTTGCCACACTTTACACGCTTGCATTCTTCTGATTTCTTTATTTCTTTTGTGCTCCTCGTGTGGAGTGGAGCTCTTTTTCTTAATTATCTGTAATTGATTACATCTAAGCGGGCGCCCTAAGTGCCGATTGTTTACCTACAAATTAAACGCACCGAGGCAACAGACAGCGGTGTAAACAAATATAAACAGGAGGCCAGGCGTGTGGCTTGGAAAATAACCAAAAGAACCAAAAAAAAACAACCTACGCGGCGATGATGATAGGATCCTCGAAAAATGGGAAATCCAAGATGATGCAGCAGATGCATTCTTGGCATTGATATATGGTAATGCTCTTGAGTGCCCACAAATCACTCTTCGGCTCGACTCTCTCTCTTTATTCAGCTGGCTGACTAAAAATCACTCAATTAAAAATAACAGAAAGATAATACATATTTTGCAAAAAATTTGTATTTAAACAAGTGTTTCAGTTTATTTTATATGGAAATATTTTCAAGAAATGAAATTTAAGCAAGTATTTTAAACAAGAATTCTAGCCAGTTGTTATAGCCATTATAGCCATACTTGAAGTTTCTTTTGTTTTTTTCACTCACTATCACATGACTCATGGAAATTAACCTTAGCAGCTGGCCAGGGCTACAGACTAGCATTTCACTCAATTCTCTCTCAGAGAAAAGCAGGGCTAGAGACTAGCGCTAGCGCTTGCCAGACCTCACTCAATTCTTTCTCCCTCTCTGCCAGAGTATCTTTGTATCTTATTCAGCCAGAGCGAGCGCTATACCTGGAACTCTCGTTCCCCAGCTGTGGCAGCTGGCTGGCTTTGTAAATTTCCGAGTTGTTAAACAACTGCAGAGCCGCTACAACGCGATATCGCTTCGTAGTCGTATTATTTTTTTCGCCGTATTCCAGTACTAAAGTTGTATCTGAAAGATACTCTCTGGCTAGGCATATCATCACACGTGTTTCAATATTTTGTAAGCAAACATCAGGCAGAAGGGCCGTCCTAAACAAAGAGCAGATTCTGCGTCATTTGATCGCGCGAGTTGATGCGGAATCTGAATCTGAATCACTTCACAACCTTCATCCTCGTCGCGAGTGCGTGAGCGTGATCGTGTATCTGTGAGTTGAAATTGTATATGTATCTCAGAAGTTGCTTGGCAAAGACGCGCTTCGATGCCGTTCTACTTTTTCGATTCGGAATAATTTAAAAAAGTTCAGCGTGCTCTGCTCTCTTTTTTTGCATATTGAGTCAAGAAATATAAAAGAAAAAAAATAAAGATATATACATATATTAATTAATGCCACAGTATCAAGTTAGTGGTATTACGAAACCCCTGGCATTAAAAGTGAAATTTTTAAAACAACAAATGTTATAAGAGCAGTGTGTTGGCAAAAAAAAAAAAAATAGAAAAAAATAGCCTCTGTGACGATCGTATCAGTGAAATCACTGGTGAAATATCAGTAAATTATAGTTAAATAAACCCACTTGGACACCGCAACGCTTTCATTTGGATTAATCAATTTTTATTTTGGGACAACCAACCACTCGCAGGCATGCTGCATGGCGATTTCCACATTCTAGCCGAGACCCGTTTTAAATGAGATTTAACTAGATAAATGGTTCGTATCTTCTCACAGCTCACATCTCTCAGATTAAACCCAAAAAGCCATTGATAAATGGTTACATATCAGTCTTCTCTCAGGCGGAAGTGGGAAACATATTTAATCCGATATAGATATCGTTATTACTCATTGGGGTTTTATTCAAGAAGGGGGAATTCCCTTATGGAAGGTGTGTTAAATATTAGAGTTATGGATTGTTATTCAATATGCCTTATAGAATTATTAAATTTCAAGTTGAACAACCTCCAGGGCACCCTTATGTTCGCAATGACCTTTTCCCACCCATGACAACGCTTATGCCTGCATAACAATTTTCATTGCAATTTTGTTCACCCTTCCCCAGAGTCCACCCTCTTGTTGCTGAAATAATTACACATTTTCTGACCGAGACAGCGTTGTTTTTTTCTCCTTGTTTGGCTTGTTAATTAAGCTACGACCAACTACTGGTTAATTTTTAATTGTTACAACACAGCACAGTTTAGTGATCTTGAGAGTCTGTTATTATGTCTTGGACTAGCTAGACCCGAGTGTTCTACAAAACTCACTTGTGTGTCATTCCGTTCGGTTCGTTGTGGGGTTAGTGCATTGATTATGCACGGTCTTGACTCGGTTGAGAGCACACCCCTCTGGCATTTCCATGCGGGTTTTTTCGTATCAACTCCCTCCGTAGAAATATATAACAATTGTTGGACTCCCATTCAACCGGGCTCCCCATATCAGCGGTGGTGTGCGTGAATTCACTGTTGCTATTATTAAAACCATTTCGACTGCCTTCTTTGTTTGACTTTTGCATTGCTCTGTTGGCATTTTTAATTGTTTCGGCTTTATTGTTCGATTTGGCGGTGGTTTCCCCCCTTTTTAATATCACTTTTTCTTTTTTCTTTTTTTAGTTTTTGGAAAAAGTTGTCAAAGCTTTGAAAAACAGAACTAACTTAAACCATTGGTCAGCTAATTAAGTTCTCAACCCAATTGGTAGCCTTTCGCTTTGGGTTTTGTTTTGGACTTTTGTTTTCTATTTTACATTGCTAATTGCTTTATCTGGAAAAATAAAAAAATAAGGGAAAATGAGAGCATAAAGAATTGAAAAAGCCAAGTGGTTATGAAAGCCTTTGGTGAATGTGTTTAAAGAAAATGTACAAGAATATCATACTATATACGATTATGCCCTTCTCTTTTTGAATTGTGGCCACTCCTTTGTGAGTATTTGTGATCAATCAATTAAGAATATTCTGAAAAGCATGATTCTATCCTTGACACACTTGAGTTTGTGGCTATACTCATCGCACACCTTTTTGTATCTGTATCTGAGACACTCCCTGGCTCTGAAACGACCCTTATCACGGCCAGCAACTCCAAACTTACAACTTGAACAGCAAACTGTTTATCTAACTAACATTTCCCTTTTGTATTTTTAGTTTTTAGTGGCCTGATTCATTTATTTGCGCATTTTGCTCAACTCTTCGCAGTCAGAATGCAAATGCATTAGTCTCTGACTCTCAAGAGTCTGAATAATAGTCGACTTTAACCTTGAGGTTCTAAATCATATAGCCCCTTACTTTGTTTTTTGTTTTGAATTCGAAGCTTTTAGATGGTAACTTGTGAAATTTCGCACTTTTAGCCACAAACACCAAGCCCCCAACTCACTGGGGTCTTTGGGAAATGGCACACAATACGGATAATGTATGCTTATATATACATATAAGCTTTAATTTACTTTTTATTTATTTGCAAATTAAGCCATATAATATTATTATAACAACTCGACTGCAATTGTCATGTGATTTTTCTTAAAAGGGACCTTCTCGACTTCTGAGTACCCTACACTGAAGTTTTATAATTATTTTGTAGAATTTTTAAAAGACTCTTGTAAAGAGCATTGCAGATCTCAGTTCGATTTTTGTCAGCTTCAATTTAAGTTTATTTGTGTTTTCATTTTCGGCTGGCTTTGTACTCGGGGCTGGTGTGTTTTTGTTGGCCATTGTTGTCAGAGTCGGCTTTTCTCACTCTCGTGGCCCGTTCTACTTTCTATAGTGTTGTATCTGATGCCTGGGTAGATTGAAGAGTTTCACGGATATCTTCACAATGAGACAGATACACACTCCGCGTGCGCCACTGTATAAATCATCATAATTTCGTAACAATTGAAT